CCATCGAATGTCAACCATAATAATGCATAACACACACGCTGGTTTGTCTGGAGATACAAAGTGTTGAAGAACACTACTTCATTCCTTATTCTTGACTCCAAAAGATAATAACAAACATGTGGATGTTACAAAGAGGAAAACTCTTTTGCATTTGTGGATTTTCTCCAACCAGGAGTGGAGGAGGTGGTTTTAAATTCCTATTAGATTAGAATTTTATAGAAAGAAACAAAAACAACAGAATACAGGTGATTTTATATGGATTTGTGAGTTTTCGGTTAATTTGCCAGCAGGAGCAGCTCATCTGCATTTCAGAAATGACTGTTTGTACAACTTGTCTCATCGCCCCAAATCCTTTTCTGTCTTGTGTAAAACATTTTTTAGAGCAGCTGTAATACTTGGGATGGCTCTTCGTGACAAACCCTCAGAGAATCATCACCTGGACTCAGTGCAGCTTTGAGCTTGTTGTTGGGGTTTTCCAGCTCAGAAATGTAATCTCATCGTTCCATCACTGCTCTTACTCATCATTAACTGTCACAGGTAGTAAAAAAAAAAAATAGCAGTTAATTTAGCAGCTCTATATTTTTGCAGACATACACAAAGACAGTGATTATTGCATTTACATTGGCTAGATGGCCAGAAACAATCCCAATGCTGCGATGTTAAGCCGTTGAGCAGGACAGTTTTTTCTAAATGATGATGCAATTCGGCTGGCCACGCTCGGCTGTTTGTTGCGTTGTTGCTCTGCTAAAACACAGCATTACTTTTTAGTTTTAACAGTTGCCTCGGTGATACTGTTGAGTACCGTGTTTTCAAATGCTCTGGTCACCGAGTAGCCCGTTCAGAACTACTGCAGGCCTATTTAATAAATGAATGGTATGCTTGAATGGTGAAAACTTAAAGATGGATTTCCTGGATGACCTCTGTTTAGACATGTGTCCCAATATAAGGCCATTTGAATAACCTTTTTTGGTTTGTTATGATTATAAACATGTATATATGCTTTTCTCACTTCTACTCATACAGAGACAGCTGCTGCTTGCCTCCATTCTGCAGCGCTGGATGAGGAACACATTTCTTCTTGGCTCAGATTTGAGGTTCTTCCTTGATTGCAATTCTCAGATAAGTAGACGTGAAGTCATTTTTCATTTTGACAATATAATTTCTATTGAATCACAATTGTTGGCAGATGCATGGGAGATCTATTGTTTTATTCAACCGTGTTCTGTGTTGTTCAACCTAGATGACCGTGCCTCATTACAACAGCTGGTAATATCCTCACATATTTACAGTGGATCATGAAGGATTTGACTGATGGACTGCACATGCTCATGAAATGAAGAGATGACTGACCAGCCAACATAAAACACTGCAGGTGACAGTTGACTTAGCAAACACACTTTGATGTCAAAGCCTCCTATCGGTCAAGATAAACCCACTCGTTTTCCCCAACAGACCCGAACAGCAGCAGTGCGTTGCAGAATTATTGGAATGCGGAAAAGGAAATGTATGGATTTCACTATGGTTTAACAGGTTAATGCATCAGGGAGCATCGCGCGTGTGTGGCAGGTTTGCTACATAGAGTTTCCTTTAAAAACTTGACAAGCTGACAAAATGTCAATAAAGGAAATACTGTTACACCTTAACAGAACATTTGAAACATACACCCGCGAAATTCAAGTTTTTCCATCACAACACACAAAACTTTTTTTAAACTACACAAATACAAATTAAAACTCAACCAACTCATTTTGCCATGTCTTTCCACCATTCCAACAATTAGAAGCTGAATTGTTCTTGACTAATTCACAAAACAAGATATAAAAATACATGACTTCCTCTCTCTGGATGGTTGTTGGCGACGGCATAACATAACATTATCTGCTCTTATTTTCAGATGCTATTTTTGTTGTTGGAGACGTAACACGAGCAAAGAGAACAAGGAGGTTATTGAATGGCATGTTCCCCACGGCTACTAAGGCTGAAGTGGCACTGCGTTATTCTTCCTTGCGTCCAACGATGTTACGTGACTGGATGCAGCAAGAAGAGCGGATCTGCAGCTGCGCACCAGAGGAAATAAGCATGACCCTTTTACAAAACAAAAAGAGTATTATTGGCAGATCCACATGAAATTGAATGTAGTTTGTGGTCATTTTTTATCTACAGAAGGATCGAGAATACTACTCTGTAGATAATTACAAGGTTTCCCAAGGTTATATTCTGGGGCTTATTCTATTCAACATCTACACGGTTCCATTAGCTCAGAATATGGAAAGAAGTCTGGTATCATAGTTATGCAGACACCTCATACATCTACAAAACCATATCGCCAGTGGACTATAATCCCATACAAGGTTTGGATAAATGCATTGAACAAACCAGAATCTAGATTTCCGTCATTTTCTTCAATTAAATGAAGATAAAACAGAAGAAATGTTTTTGGGGGCCAAGGACAAACGATTGAAAGTCAGCTCTCAGCTTCAATCACTGATGTTAAAAAACAAAAACCAAGCCAGAAATCTACGTGTAGTTATATCACCTGTATATATTGAGGAGTATAGTACTCCATTGAATTTATTTTGAATATGCCGATTAACATACATTTTAGTACCTGCAGAGTACATAAAATATCCATCAGTAATCATTTAGTTTTACACAGTTTGTGTCCTGCGATGTTATACAACCATTGTGCAATTGAAACAGTGCGAGTAAGGGGTTGTGTTGGCTTTGGACTGCTTTACTCACATAAAGAAAAAGATTCAAGTTGGAAGTTCAAGACTGGGCCTCCCAGCAGGGAGGATTACAGAAACAGGTGCTCAAACAGGGCGTTTGAGACAGAATACAGGTGTATTCAGATAGCCAGTGACAGAAAATCATAAAGCAGGTAAACATGTTTCAGTAAAATAAAATACTAGAATAGGGCTGGTATTTAGCGTTTTAACGAGAAAACCAAGGCTATCAGAGCTATCAGATTTTACAGTAGTTGTATACACTTTATAAACTTTGCTTCTTCACAGGTATTTAAAATGACCATATTTAATATTTACTATTAACACCCCGCTCAAGTTAAAGCAATGTAAAAGCCAACCATCTGCGGAAAGTCAGAGGAGAAGATAAAGAAGCGGTGAAAGATGAACACTAATCAAAACATGAGGGAACATGATAAATCTGTTTTGAATTTGAAGGATTTTCTATAACCAGAAACACATGTAGAGAATGTCTAGCATGGATACCACAGTGATATTTGATTTCCAATAGGAAATAACAAGAATTTTAAAACTTTTGCCTGAATATAGAAAAGATGGAAGAGTACCAGTTTATAAACAAAGATTTTGCCGTGCATGTCAACGAAGCGTATTTTGGTGAGACACGAATTCCCTGCAGCGAATGAACGTACATGTTTTCTATTTCAGAAAATAACTTCAACTGGGTCATTTGATACAGTCCAGGATTTAAAAGAGTTACTACCATTTAGAATGTCAATTTAAATTAATCGTAAATACATTTCCAACAAACTTGAGTGTCCTTTGCTGTGGCCAACATCAGAGGAGGCATTGTTTTTTTTGACAACGTCTTGAGAACAAGTAATCCAGGAAAAAAAAAGAGGCATGTTTATGGGAAAGACGACCACATCCCACTGAATCAATAAGAACATTTGCAACATTTGAGGAAAATACAACTACTCAGGAAAACAAAGAACAACATGTTTAAACCAGTGACCACCGTACCACATGTATGAGGTATACCACAGGGACATGACTCATGGACTTACACACATTGGACAACGTATTTCCACATGTGACACGGTCTTGCAATTGCATGACCACAACCCCCCTTGTGTTTCTGTTCATACTTTCTGCTTTGCTGACATAACAGCATTAGTCGAGGGTAGAAAGACAAACCCACGGGCAAGTATCGAACTGCACACAACAATACTGGCAAATGTGAAAAATGCCAGCCATAGTTTGTATTGACTCGCCATTTATTCATTCAGTTTAGAGGTGTCACAGGACAACAGTGCTGGTTTTTTTTGCATGATTGTACACTTCAGTTGTCCATCTATGCAGAACAATTTCAGTGGCAGAACCCATTTAAACTGCAGGTGTTTCATATTATTTCAAACACTACAAAGGTGTTGGAGGATAAAATGTGCAGTAACTGCAGAATGGCGCCCCCTGCTGAAGTTGTTGCCCTTGCAGAATATGGTAGTGGACACGAAAAATCATGTATTCATTCTGCTTTTTATCTGATAAATGAAACAGTTGACATTTAAAAAGTGGTAGACGGGTGGGTACGCGCAGGTACACCACGTGTGCATTTAAACTCATATATTTAGTTAGTGGATATTGCAGTCCTACTCTAAATGGTGATGGAAGATAAAGTTGACTTTTTTATAGTTAAATAATATTAACGTGTTCCACGTGCATATCAGAAGGCTCTGCTGCAGAGGTGCTCTGCCTGTAGCACATTTAGGAAGTGGAATCAGGATTGTCTGTCTGATGCATATTCTCAAACCACAGCACCTGCTCCCAAAACTGACTAGTGATTCCATTGTGCTAATTATTACACCGCAGAAAAACAACTGAATGCATCTGTAACCTCAAGGCAGATTTCGTCTCCTTGTAAAGAGAATCTAGTACACAATCTAATAACTCAATGTTATTTGATGTTTGAATACACTTCCAAGAAGTTCGACTCTCTCTGATCCCAAATCATCCTGGTGTGAATCACCACAGGAACCAAATATCGGTTGTTTTTTTATCATCGCTTTGGTCGGTACATTTGCCAGACTTGTGTTAAGAACACCGGTGTGTCATTACACAGGAATGACTTGACTGAGTTACCGCAGAGACTTGCAGAGAAGAGGTTTAGAGCTGTGTGACAGCGCGCGCTGTCCTTTCAGCACCAAGGTTTTACGCACGACCACACTTACTTACTTACTTACTTACTTACTTACTTACTTACTTACTTACTTACTTACTTAGCGGTGAAAAAGAGAGAGGTTCGGTCGAACTACTCAGATACGATGTTACAACTTTCGACTTGTGTCCCAGCATAAACTTGAAACATGAACGTTTCCCTCAACGCGTTGTTATAACGGAGTAGAACTGGTCAGCTCGATTTGAAGAGGGGTGAGGGGGGTCATGGGAAAGATTTGCACGCCCTGATTTAGAGAAAGCTGTACAAACTAATCTGTGGACAAGCCTTCGGTGGGGTAAAGCTGTTTGTTCTTAACGGGCACTACAGTGCAACGTCCTAAAAACGGGTGTTTTAGTCTTTTTTTCCGAATAATCAACCTTAAACTGAGCGGAATTGTGTCTCAATTTCCATGATCGGTGCACTATGGCTCTAAACGAAGTTAAGAGAATCACATTAATATGAGAGCGTTTCCACTGAGATGGTGGTATTTGCGATGCGCGCTGAGCTAATTGGAAATTTCATTGGAAGTATTAGTCGGGAAAACGCTTCCTGTAACTGCCTATCGCACAGATAAATGGAGTCACCGAAAGGAGGGGGCACAGAGAACTTCCCACGGCGTTCATCAGATGGTCAGTCGACTCGAGTGGACTTCCCGCTTCAGGAGCGCCAATAACAACGCGTGCTTACGTTATTGCCGCGGACACGACAGAGTAAACCACGGGACAGCTCGGCACGTCGGCGAGACGCACTGAACGGCGAGCCGATCCGCGACTTCGGCGGCGGCGGCGGCGGCGCACGCCGGACTCGTGGAGCGACCCCGGATCGTTCCGGCTGTGCGTCCACTCTCTCTCCCTGAGGGCGGCCCGGAGGAGACGACCACTGATGCTCAGCAAACGCTCATAGGACTTCAGACGTTTTGTGGGTTTTTTTTTTTTTTTGCAAGTGAAGGACAGACTTTTTGGGCACATATTTGTGGAGCGGCGGAAACAAGAACATAACGTTGTTTTTTTTAACTTTCCATGTTGTTCATTGTCGGACGCAAGGAACGTAATCACACAGTATTTGTGGCTCAAAGGTAATTTCTCGGTTTTTATGCCAATGCCTGTTTCTGTAATGTGTTGCTCCTCTTGTGATCTCGTGTATTCATCTCTTGATCTAAACTGTCTTGTGCTAAATACATCAATTCAAAGGACTTAAGAACCTCTCCTATTGGGTTATGACCAAAATAGCATTCAGAGAATTGACTCGTGATTTAACGATTTTAAATATTGTATGACAAAGCAGTCATAACACTTCGACGCGTGAAGAAAAGGCAACGATGCATGATGTTGGATAGAATTTAGAGGACGAATAACGGGAAAGTTGTCGAACAAAGTCGCAAAACTGTGACTGTTTACTTGACAAGTTATTCAACTGAGATTTTCTGTGAATGAAAGCTGCATTTGGACGCGCGCGTTCAGATCCGACATCACCTTGACGCCTCGATCTCTCCCTCTCAGGTCTACACTTCCAACTTTTTGGAGAAGGAGTTCACTTCTGCCTCTCTCTTTCTCTCTCTCTCTCGCTCTCTCTCTCTCTCTCTCTCTCCCCTGAGCTATGAGCGGACTGCGTAAGCACGTCACTGTCGGACTGGTGCTGCTCGTGTGCGCGCTGACCGGTCACTGCGGGGAGAGCGAGCCATCAGCAGCCCCGTCGCCCCCGGCCGCAGGAGCGGAGCGCGTCAAGCAGGACTTCAGGCGGATGATGGAGATCGTGAGGAACGTGGAGCACGGCCGCACTCGCCGCGTGGCCAACACGGAAGCCGCGCCGACGCCGCGGACGGGGAGCCCCGCGGTGGAACCGAAGGATTTACGCAACTCGAAGAGCAACAGAGGCGATCCGGTCGTCGGTGAGTGATTGAATGATTGAAGAGGATGCTGCAGCTCTGATGCAGGGTGTGGGCTACTGGGATGATATTCGTTTGCAAAACAAGTACAGACAGATGGAACGGGCGGGGGGGGGGGGGGGGGGGGGTATAACTTACCTGGGGCTATGTGCAGGTATTTGTTCGGAGATGCTGGGTGATGACATGTAACAAAAAGTTTATGCATGGAAACCCCGTTTCTAGATAACAAAGTTGACCCAGGTTGTAATTGACCAAATTACCCCAGTAAATGAATTTTAGTCGTCTGAGATATTTTAAAGGCAGCTTGAACCCGAATCTTCTATCTCTCTACAGCTGTGTTCCCAAGAGATCTCAGGAAGAAGGAGAAATTCATCAAATACATAACAGGTGAGGCCACTTGTATGTCACTGGCGTGTTAAGCAGGAAACTGAGTCGGGAGGATGTCTGAGGGACAAATGATTTTTTTTTAAGTGAATAGCCTTACGTGTGCCAGCTGTGAAACAGATGTCAGCACAGGTGTGCCGCAGAGCTTGAAAATGTTCACACAGCCTTCTGTCTTCCCTTTCAGGTCCGCTTTACTTCAGTCCCAAGTGCAGGAAGCACGTGTACAGACTCTACCACCACACCAGAGACTGCACAATACCTGCATGTAAGATTTTTACACACACACACACAGAGGAATGTCTGCGTTTGTCAGTCCAATGTCATCACGCCGCGTGAAAAGCATCCACTCATACGCAGGTCTCTGCTGTTAATCTTCTCTTCTCAGACTTCAAAAGATGCGCTCGGCTTCTCACGAGACTAGCTGGCAGCCGGCAGTGCACGGAGGGGTAGCACACGCGAGGTACAAGCTCTTCTCCTAATCAAACATGCTTGGTGCTGAGAGGACATGCATGCATACATAGGACGTATTGTTGAAGGGGTGGCGTGTAACGCGGTAAGGCCAGGGTATCATTTTCCAAAAGGTATAACAATGCCGCTATGAGTCTTACTTTGGAAACGTTAAAAGTAAAAGGATCATTATACAAATGTACTCAAACATTCCAAAGTAAATTATCACAACACTATGTCCCAGGACAGGGGCTTAAAGGCTTACTTCTTCTGATGCACTGAGTTCAAGTTAATGTTAAACAGCTATGATCATTCCATCCGGCATGTAGGCCGTAACATTAACAGTGTTCAATTGCCCATCTTGATTCCCCGCACTGTGTGAGTACAACTTACTCTTGCAGCTGGAGCGCAGTTTACACTATTATGTTGTTATTGTTGCTATTTTGTAGCAATTTTAGTATAAAGTGGCATTCATGCAAAGGACCAGCAAACCTAGAATTAACATACAGAACATGATCCACCAGAACATTTAAGTTATTATTTGTATATGTGTTTCCATTTCATTTATCTACTTATACCTCTTCTCCACAAGATTTCTGGCAGAATATTATCATAGTTATATTGCTGTCTTGATCAAATTATGATCATTTTGATAACATAAATAATAATCCAATTATGTGATACTTCAAAATGGTCCATCGTACCCAATCATTCCTTTTCCTTTTCATGGGTTAACTCTATTTTGCTGATATGCCTCTACTTGAGGTTTGAAATTGTGGCATTTAAGACAGAATCCTGTGCCGTCAAGGTCTAAAGTTCACAGTTTCTGGTTGGTAATATAATATATAGTAATATATACCTGCTGGGTCAATACACACGTGCCTCAGCAGCAGCAGCACGGTTTGGTAATTTATTCTGAATCTTTTTGGCAAGAAAACATTTTGTTACCGGCTACCCAGTTGGAGACGGCGCTGAATTTCACTTCTTCTTCATTTCAGGTAGAACGCAAGCAAAGTCCTCCGCAAGAAGGAAACTTTGGGGAAAAGTGCCTTGGACAGTGGGAGAGAACCACCCCCCAAAAAACATTGACCAGCCCTAACTGACATTTAGGCTCAGTACTGCCCATCCATGACGTTTTGCTCCGCTGAGGCGTGGACTTATTCCGGCGGAATCACCACGAGTGACGCAAATCAGCCAATGAAACCAGACCAAGACAAACACGGTGAAACTGAAGAGTGGAGAAGGAAGGAAACGCCGGGCTGGAGAGAAACAAACACGGGGCCTACTTTCCTGCTGGCATCCAAAAAGATGTTGTGAAAACAAAACAACAACAAAAAAAAGGGATTGCATATTTTTTTAATTTAGCTAATTTCTTTGAGAAGAGAGCGAGATCCAAATGTACCATATATTTTTTATGACTAGCTTTCTGCGACTGGTTCGGTCCAGATGAGTGTTTTGTGTTGAGCCGATACCTTCCGTGCCGCAACTACCCGTCATGCAGACGCGCTCTCACAAACCCTGTGCCCACACTGAGAAAGAACTGTGATTAAATTATTCATTGCGTTGACATTTCTCGGTCTTGGCGATGTTTGAAAAAAGAAAAAAAAAGAAGGAAGAGCCAGTTTTAATTGTAGCCCTCCTGGGAATCTAAAAACTATATTTATACATTTGAGTTTCCCTGTACAGACTATAGGCCATTTAACACAAGAGAAATATGTACATACTGTAAAGCATAGGAGGAATCCACCTATTTACCATGAATGAAAGTGACTGCATTCATCAAATGGCTGTTAACTACACCTATAAATTATAAGATTGGTACAAAGGTACATGAATCGTGCTTGTTGTCCGCTGCACTTTTTTTCTTTACTTTCCTTGTTGAGATGTGGAATGTTTCCCTGGTTGACCACATGACTGGGCCGAGTCCTGCGACTACGGTTTACTTTACACTGCAGCTCAGCTTTGATAAAAACATTCAGAGAGAAAAGTTCTTTTTAAAAAAGGGCCGGTTCACCAATTTACAAAACAACCGAATTTCTCCCTTTCGCTAGTAAAATGTAGCTTTTAGTTTTATTGGGAGATTTGATAAATGAGGTGCATCCTGGTGGTTTAGGGAAGGTTCTTGTTGAGAAAAACAACGCCTTTTAAATCCATAGACACACTAAACATTTTTCACTGCTAGTACTTTATACCTCAACAGTAAAAACATTGTTCACTGTGCAACCTGTGGATTATCCAGGGCAACGTGTCTGGAACATAAGCCCCTGGGGAAAGCTATAGCGTAGTCTGCAGGTTATTCATTAGGTCTAAAAAAGGAAATGTAACATGCTGATTACTGAGTGAGCTTTAGAAGTCGGTCACTCTGACCCGGCGTACACGTTTCCCCCTACTTTCAGGTATCAAGCATCCCATCGAACTCCCTGCAAGAACACGTTTCCAAAACTGTCCAAAACTATTCCTTTAACCTGGACTTTAAAACTTGTTTGCGTGTTCCAGATTGGATTTTTTTAAATTTTTTTATTTATTGGATCAACTCCTTCATCAGACCTGAGGGTATCTGTTGTTTTTCAAATCTTGCTCCATTAATCTCCGGTTCGCATGCAAGCTCCTTCACAGTAGACGCCCTACTTGACAAGGGAGCCCACCCTAAAACTAAATTCTTTTACAACTGGAAACCGTCCAGTTGGTTTGTCCAACCGTTTGAGTCAATCCGCGTTTAATGATAGGCAGTCCTCCCTCACTGGAGGGCCACCATCTATTAAGTAGCCGGTGGGGATCAGCAGAATACATTGAGTGTATAAAAAGGACCATTCAAGGAAAAGGAGTGGGAGCAGTTTGCGTTTTCTAAGAACCCCTTTTAAAAGATGAATTAGATAATTGATATCTGATAAAAAATGAATCATATTTTGTGTTATTAGGTCAGATGAAAAGGAGCAGTATACCAAAGAAAGCTGTGCAAAGACAAGAACCTAACTATGAGGCGTCCAACTAAATATGCAGGCAGATTAGCATTTATGCTGGCATGAACTTTGGCCCATGTCGACCTTTGGCCTCTAAACCTCAGAAGTCCTGTCATCGTCTGAAGGATGGCTTCATACATTGAAATATTTAAGCATATTAAAAATGTAAGGACGAATAATTCATGGGTAAAATAAGTCTGATGTTCTAATTTTATTAATCACATAAATTTACAGTCCACAAACTTGTCCAAGCAGCATTGTTTTAAAGATACATGTTTGGTTTGTATAACATTTACAATACTAAAAGAAGTGGGTTTCCTGGTCTTCCAGTGGCATCCAAAAGAGTGTTATGTACACTGCACATAATTATATATGTGCGACGCAGTCAAATCATATTTGGTTAATTTTTATTGTTAATTCCACAGATTCAGATCATTTAAGGTTACATGTTATTAGGAGTTTTTCTCCAAGAATGCTTTGCAGCAGCGTACACACTGTTCGTACACCTTCTCAAAGTCTTCGTCACTGCCCTATGAAATAAAACGGGGAAAGAAAATGATGTAAATAATAACATACATGCATACGGTTGATTCTATACAATACAGCTGTAGATATGCAGAGGCCATTTTTATGGAAATAGCTTTACAGCCATTGCAAACTTCACATTTGATGATTTTTAGCAGCCAGAATGTTTACCAATAGACTGCTTATAAGAAGTGGGCAAAGTCCCCATGAAGTCATGGGTTCAGCATTTCTGTCATTCCTATCTTGTTTTGTTTTTTTTAGAACCACAAGTGAGGGTGAAGCAAAGTGCAACGGAACACTGAATGACACATTAATCGTCTCACTTCCCCAAACTGAAAAAACACTCTCAAAAGGGTTAAAAGTTGTAGTCCGACGCCGTGCTGGTAGCCACGTCCTAAAGTTTTAACATCTATTTTCGACCGGATGGGACACTGATCTACTAAATGAACGTCATGCCGTAATACTAAGCGATCAGCCGGGTGATCAGGGAGACTGCAAGTTCAAGACACTTGTGCATAAGCAGGCAACTGGGAGTTGCAGCCTGCCTTTAAATCCTAGTATAAAAATGTTGACCTAATGATGGCGCTAGATGAAGTCAGAAGAAAAGCCAATTTACAATTACAATTCAGCTACTAGAGCGAAGCCACTATCTTATCCGATTTAGAGGTATCAAAGTGACGGCAAGGATAACCAATGTGACAATGTGTCACATCAAAATAGGACCTTATTCACAGTGCCTCTCCACCAAGCAACAGCATTGTGATCGTCCACTTTGGACAGCAGATGCAACACTAAAGAAAGTTTTGCACAAGCTGCCGTTGCAGGGAGTTTGTGCAAAGTGAAGCCAGAACAACTTGAACTCTCGCCTAGTGGCTGGATGTTTGTTAAGGAAATGCCTGATTTGAAATGCTGCAGAGTTCATGATGCTCAGAGCAATGATTTCTATTCATTTAGCAGCCTCACGCTGGAGTCGCTTTTTGTCATTTTGTGTGGCCGCACTGCCTGTAAAGAGCATTAGTTCAACCTTTGTTTTGGCAAAAAAAACTACTGGTAGACACACTTCCTCTGACCATCGCACAGACAAGTGACACGCCAAACTCTTAAAAAATAAAATAAAATGGTTACTAGCTTCTTTGCCATGTATTCCAAATGAGGAATCAAAGAGACGACGGCCATTATCGCCGTTAAAGTTCCCAGTGTTTTTCTTCATGAAACATGCCTGGACAGGATCCAATCACTCCCATTGGAGAGTAAATGGTCTCCACTGCTACATACTAGTCATATTCTGTCCAAAACTGAAGCCTCGAACAAGTGCACAGCCATTGAACGCAATATAGCAATTGTTGGGTTTTTTTCACCTTCTCCACGAGCATTGACACGGCCGAGGAGAACATTGAAGTCAGTCGGATTTTAAAACAATTTGTTGATTTACATGTAAAAATTAAATGAGAACCAATATTGCCAAACAGATTAAATGTTCAAATGAAGGCTGTTAGAGTAAACAATTTAAAACATGATTAAAATATAGACAGATTTTGTGGCGCTTTCTCTAGAATTAGCAAAATGACACAGTTTTGGATAGTAACCGTAAATTCCTTTGAGAACAGAGATGGTATTCATCCTTTCGGATAGTTAAATTGGATTTATTTGAATGATTTCACACGACTAGCTTGAATTAAAAATCTTTAGTTATCTTGTTATTCCGACTTGTACCACTGCCGTTTCCCCTCGGAGTGTCCAAAAAACGGGGATTAGTATGATCAAACGTTGAGGAATCGCCCTAATTATGGCTAAAAATACCGGCGACAGGCGAGTTTACTTTAACACTTACATAGTATGGGTCTTCGATGATGCGCTGCTTTTTCGGGTCATATGAACCCAGAAGCTCAACCTTTGCCACGGCGTTCTTCACAAGATTTGCTCTTCGGTTCAGCTCACTGTGAAGAGATGAGAAAGCTATTAACACGTTTGAACATGAGAACTTTGGACCAGAAATCTAACTCGATATAGATATGAGCCGGAAGATCATATATGAATAGCTGTAAAACATGATGATAGTAACATCCATGGGTTTAAACGTCCTTCCAAAGCACAGGAAAACAACGGAATAAGCTTTATTATGCAAACATTTCTACAATAGAGAAAACACCTAAAACTAAGGTAATAATATTTGAAAACTTAAAGACGGATTAACAATTAATAAATCACTTTCAATGTGACAACAATGAGATGGGCTGTGTGGGATGGCAAACTAAACATGGACAGAGTGCCTTTTGTCTCATTTTCTCGGTCTGCTTAGCTTAACATTTGTGGAGAAAAAAAAAAAAAAAAAGGAAAAAAAACATGATGTGTGAGAGCAAGGGGAACAAACTGCCCCAAGAGCAAAGACGAGGCATCCAAAGAACTCAGTAAGCTGCTTACAGATCAGATCTGCCATAGGCATGTGATCTCAAAATGATCCCTAAACGTTCAAAGTATCAAAAAAATATCCCTCCCCCTGACCTTTTGGAAAGAGCTTAAGAAAGGATATTGCTCATTAAAAAAAGGGAGGTATTCACCTACAAGTATACGCCACGTTACCACCACTTCGATGTGCATGTGAAGGAGTAGCACAGATCCCCACCGAGCCAGAAGGACAACCTGGTTCGGCCCCTTTCAAGGAAAAGGTTTCCCTTGATCCCAGGCAGCCTTTGGTGAGCAGAGTCACTCGACACCTGCGCTCACCTGTGCGCCACCGTCACGGCTGCAACAAACAGTGCTGCTGTAACGGACTCAAGTGTACCTTAAATTGCTCTCGTCCATGCAGAGGATGTACTCAAAGGTCATGAAATCATCGTTGGTCACCTAGAAGGAGAAATTCAGGAGAGAGAAACACATATTACGTCGGGCTTTTGGTGGGGTTCAAATACGGTGAAGTGGACGTCATCTGAGGGTTCAAAGTAAAGCAATAAAAATCAATAGTTCTCAAAACAACAATAAGGGCCAACCCTTTGATTACATGGTCAACATCTTTTCCAGGAAGAGGTTTTTTTTTTATTTCATTTCATTTATAGACCGTTCACCCTCCTAAATCTGCACGAGAGCTGTTTTGAGGTTCCCATAGAGTCTTCTCCTCTAGCAAGGCAACATTTATAAAAGAAAAAAGAAAAAAAAGGGAAATCGATTTCATCAACATGTTTGCTAGACCTCAAGAATACATACAACACGTTTTGCGGAGTCTCAGTGAATGTAAACATAATTTTGTTTGTTTGCATGAGAACTTCACAGGGCGCCAGTGTGTTACTGCACATTTCGTCCTGCTGCTGTTTCACATTAAAAGCTTACAACTTGCAAAACACTTTTATCGTGAGATGTATTTGTAACCAACGTTCTTTCTGACACAAATTGTTCCTCAAAACGGGATTACAAAACAATAAAAGCATAATCTTCAGCATTTTTTTGTCAGAGTCTCATTTTCAGTTTTTGGAAGGCCGTAAAAAAACAAACAAAAAACACCATGGAGCCAAAATGAAAACGAAATGTTGTATGCGATGACACCAATGTAATTATGACCTGTCGCAATAAACCTTTTGCAGATCAGATTCTTCTTAACTTATTCATGTGTTGGATCTACACTGTAAATAAAAAGCAGTTTTTTGTTTTTGTTGCATTTCTGACAAAGAAAAAAAAAAACTGCTCCCGGAGTTGTTGGCGCATTGAACAACATCTGCGCATTGAACAACATCTGCGGTTTCTACCACGGCTGAAATCTTCCGGACACCATTGAGGAGGGGTGTTGAGTAAAGTGTTTCCTTTACGAAGAACACGAGGCAGCACCCTGAATAGTTTTGGGTTCCGAGAGTCAGTTTGGAGGAATGCCGAGATAGAGGTGGATGAATGAGAGAGAGGAACCAAAGACATGAATAAAACTCCTGCGACGCTCCAGATGTTGATATCAAGACATTCAAACCCAGAAACTTTATATCAACTGGTTACGCGTTTATACCATTCACACCCTTTCTCTGTAGTTGTTAAATTGACAGCAGCTGTTGACCCTTCCGCTCATTTCTACTTCTCTGAAATATCTGCCTGAGAGCAAGCCGGTGGTCGGAAAATTGCAAGTTCAGAAAGTTCAAGAGAAGACCTTCGAAAATCCTGATACGATGCCAAGAGAGATGATATGATAAAAAAAAAAAAAAAGATCAGGTTCAGGCTCCTGCAGGGATTGTGCGTTCCATGGCTCACTGCTTTTACCACTACGACACGCCAAAATGTTTTCTTTGCTTTACCATTTCCTCAAATTTGTCAAATTTAGAAACGGCCAAATCCTGTTCCACTTTTTTGGCCAGGCGAGATGTACAATCCCCCCTCCCCTTCTTCTGGATCCGTCCCGGGACATCTTACCAGTTGGACGTGCCTGGGAAAAGCCTCTAACGGAAGCAGAGGCTCCATCAGAATGACTGACAGTTGGTCGCACCTACCTTTCCTGCACACTGGAATGAACTTTCCTCGGGTTGTGTGTGGATTATGTAAAAGTTTTCAAATATTGGCGACTCAATAATGAATTGATGAGGATGAAATCGGAATTTCCGCTCTAATAAATCTATATGCAAAAGGAATAGAAAAGTGGGTGGAAAGGGTGGTAAAGGGAACGAGAAAGGTGCAAAAGCTTGTCAAAGCTCATTGTGTGTATTTGGTTGGGCTTAAGCCCAAGGGTTGAGCCTCCCCATCCCGGCTTTGAGGAGATTAAAACGAGGGTCTGACCAAATGGTTTGCAGAGAGACAAACCGACGAGACGGAAGATCTCAAGCACAGGGTGAAAACCTCCAAGGAAGAGCTTTTTAAGAGCACAGAGGATAAGCCCAAAGGCCCTATATGGACAAACATCTTGGTGTGATTTCAGACCTGTTTATGGTTTTGAAAGAAATACAATACGACAATTGCTAGATTCTCTGCATCAATATTTTCCCTATTTCAAAGAGCAGTAGAGAGACAACCCTGGCCAGGGTTCCCTTTCAAAATCAGATACACATTGTGCTCGGGAAGATTCTTTACTTTTTTTTTTTTTTTTATATATATACCATCAAACCTTCCAGACATTTCGCTGACCACTGGGTCCATAAAATGAGAACAGCTGGTCCCCCTTTAGAAAGTTCAGCCAACCTTAAGTGAGCGTGAGACAAAGTTAACGTTCACAGCTCTAACGTTACGGCTAACTTCAAATTGACAAGAAAGCGTCTCTCGGCGTTACGCACGCAGCGGGTACCTCCGCTAGCCGACACATCGGCGGGCCGAAGGGAGATGACACGCGTGCCGTGGTAGCAGACAAACTATTTTTTCCGGTAAGAAAAATAAATTCTAAATAAACCGAACGCATCCCTAACACCATCGCACGTAGGCGCCATGTTTCTGAGCTCAGCTGCCTGGTCCACCAGAGGAGAATGACCTCTTGTGGTGCGAACAGTGAACTACAACACACAGCACGCCGGTTATACTCTCGTGTCACCACAACACTGGAACGCCGTGGTACTGTAAAAACACCACATAATGCCGAAATACACTTCTTTCGCTAAATTGATCTTTTATCACGCGATATGGAAAGCGAATATTTAGTGATACTTTGTATCCAACGGCGGCAAAAATAACATCATAGAGAGCCTCTCTACCTTTCTTCATTGGCTTTCCTGTAGGATGATCTAAAACGTGACGCTGTAAAGTTGAATTTGGCGGGTTGTTGCTCTGTCGCTCGATTAGCTGCACTTCATATTTTATGTTTAAACCCTGCGTTGTCTGGAACAAGTCCCTTGAGCTCTTAAATCCTATTATTGTGTCATTAGATGTTGAACCTCTGCAGTCTCCCGTAGATTTATCACAGGAGGTGACTGTATCCAAGGTTTAAGCTAAACCAGCTGAACCTTGTTTAGAGAGAGTAGTGTTTTAATCATTTCAATTTGATACAATTTGTTTTAAGGTTTTGGCAGAGAAAGACGCCAACTGAAAAGGCATAAATACGCAGATTCATGGTATTTGACATTCCTCTTAATCTGCAATGTTGGCTTTTTCTTACGTCGAGTGCAGCTGAAGTTCAGGGGAACCTGTGCTTGATTTGCAATTGCGTGCCGCTGACTATGCAGCTGCGAGTCAAAGCCTCGAGAGAAGTAACTTATTATTATTATAACTTATAACTGGAAAAAGCTACGGTGCACAATGACGGTTCAGCAGCACCTGTGAGTCTCATTAGGCGTCATTTTACAAACAGCCTACTCGTGAGGCGAGAGGAGCCACGGGACGTCTGGTTGTACCTGTCGGGCCCTGTGGCTCGTCTCAACGCCATGCTTCCTTAGGCAGGCCACACCGCGGGCATCCGGTGAGCTGCCTATATTCCAGTCAGATGTGGCACCACTGTCTATGACCCACTGCAACAACAGAGAACAAAAAAGGCGGCGCTAACTACGGCTAAGAGGGATGAGTGCGTGGTCGTACCTTCCTGGCCACATGCTGCATGGGCACGCCGTGACGCTTCATGCAGGCTTGACCGCGGTGGTCCGGAGGGTTTCCTATCTCATAGTTGGAGGTGGCAGCACTGTCTATCCTCCACTAGACAGTGTAGAGCATGGGGAACAGTAACACAGCACAAATGATCACGCCCTCAGGTGCAGATGTGTGCTGACATATCAATTTGCAGGACCATGTTGAACTCTTGAGGACAGGATTAAAAGTGAAACTTAACATTCATCAGTCCTCGTTAATAATCTTTCGAGGCTGCGGCTGGATAGTTATGTGTATTATTAAGTCCTATAATGATGAATTAGTTATTTTACTACAGTTACTTACATCTTAAACTTGTGTACTGTGTTTAACATTTTACCCAGTGTCGTATTGCCAAATTGTACTTCATATACAAATGTTGCAAAAAGTCTGCAAACCGTATGAAAACATTTTGAAATGAGATTACCCAAATAAATAAATCAATTGTCCAACCATATCATTAGTCTGCCATCGGCTGTTAAAGGGATAGTTGGGGTTGCAGTGAAGATAAATGACGAACTATGTGTAGTCAGTGTATTAGTCAACCCCCTTAATTAAAAGCAGCAATCGAAAAACAGAATTCTTTTAAGTGAATGCCATATTCAGAAAACTTTTGCTGCCTTTTTTTCCTTCTCCAAACTGGAAGCAACACTGTCATACAACCACCACACCGCAACATTTTAAGTTACCCGCTAACAATACTGTAGGCATGCTTTTAAAAATGCAGTGTTAAAATGCAGTTCTTAAGTTTTCAAAGCCTTTGATACTTTGTTTCTAGCGCTACTTGGCGGCTGTGCTCAATGGCATACATGTAATACAGTGCAAACATCAGTGGCTTGTATTATCAATGTTGTTTTGATTGATGGAACAATGAATTCGTCTTGACGTTACCTTCTCCACAACGCCAGCGTCTGCTGCCATCTTCCTGAAGACTGCTTCAGCGATTGGGGATCTGCAAATATTCCCTGTCAAAACCACAAACACCGCACATTTGTAAAGCTATGTTTAATAATTTCATAAGGGGCTTATGAAAGATTTTACCAAAAACTGTAACACCTGCAGGATTTTATGAAGAGTAACAAACGCATATTCACTACATTTTACATAACATTTGTTACTTTTAAATATTTTAAATAAAGAGCCACAACTTAACTATATAGCACATCTGACATTGACATATAATAAACGTGCGAAAGATTACAATATCTGTATCAAAAGTGAAATGTAATGTTATGTTTATTGAATACTAAAAGGGACACTGTGGCACAATGAGGCGCGAGGAGAGGAGTCGAGGAAAGTGATCGAGGCCATAACCGTAGTGGTAAACGAGGAAGGTCCCAGGTAAAGACACTCGGTGTTTATGCAAATCAAACGTACATTAGATGTTTTTTAACACCTGGCTTTACACCAAATGCGAACTTACCCAAGCAAACGAACAAGGCAGACTTCTTCCCGGAGGTCGCCATGTTTTTTAGGTGACGTTGTGTGACGTCACACGTGTAGGCTACTTTGCGCCTGAACAGAAATGTTGATTTTTTTTTATTGAGTGGATAGAAATTTGTGAAGCTTTTGAGAAAACGTTGTAAAGTTTTTCACCCTTGTTAAAATCATTACATTTTTTCTTACTGTTTAACAGACGCATTTTATCATGCATTCCTTTTGGATTTATTCTTCAATCATCTTTATTATCCTGTAAATTATCTTGTAAATGTTAAAACGGTCGGTCATATTTGTGAAATATGATGCATGTGTGCAACTATACTGTCAACACTGAACATGTACAATATCCTGCTCACAAATTAATACCTCATCAGTAATAATTGAATAGTACAGTCAGTCATCTGAAGTTGCTCCCAGGGTTCTCCTCAATCCAGCTACAGTCAAGCCACTAAGCAATGTGGACGTCATAAAGATATTCATACTTTCATATTTTGGCTAATGTTTTGCGTGATCATGATAGGAAAGGCCTTTCCGGACCGAGATATTTATAACAACAGATTAGAGGGTGTTTTACAACTTTCTCTTTGCTCTTGCGGATGCAGGTTTGCCCCACATTTGGATAAGAAATCCCACATATATCTGTCAATGTAAACACTTGTGGACTTTAGCGATGATCATGTAATTGTCTAACTCATTGGACGACGGCAAACAAAAAAAACATGAAAGGAACTCAACATTTGGTATTGCCTGTAGCCTACTTGTTTTCTACAAACTATTTGAAAAGAAAACAGCGTTACAAAAATAAGTGAAACCATTTAGCAACGAATGGTTTTAATTGTATTTACGACTGGCTTAACTGTTCTCGGGAGAGCATTAACTTGATCTTGGAAAATATGTTCCAAATTGGTAGAGAAAACCACTAAACACCAGCTTGTCATTGGTGGTCGTAACCTCTCATTAGCAAGTTTATATTTTCAGCTCTGAGTGGGAAAACGTGACAGTATTGCTCTCTAGCCAAAACCAACATAGAGCCCCGTTCTTTCTCACACTTACCCTCCACCTTGATGTTGACATCTGGGCCACGCTAACAACATCTGCATGGAATGTCAAACGGAAATTCTGACTCTTCTTTTTGACTCTACGTATAAACTATGTTGATGCAGCTTTATAAAGCCGTTGCCAAACAGCGCCATAAACTAATTCAGAATCAAAGCCTCCTAGAACAAACACGATAACCGTCATTAAGGGGAGAATGTATTGCATGATGGTTTAATTAGAATGCTTCTTGGTAATTAGTACTGCATACATAATCAGCAATTATCAGTTGCTTTACATAGTCAAGCAACAACTGCAAGCAGGAGACGCCTGCAGCAATTATATTTCATGATTTACAAGCCCTTTTTTAATTGAGTAAGCCAGTTTCATTCACGTTTCGATGATGAATGGTAATTATTGTGCATGTCCCAATAAAAACACAATTAGCGGAGGCTGCAGTGTCACATTAAACTGTTGGATATGTTTTTCCAATTAGAGTTCCACATCAAATCAAAGTGAGATGGCTCCGGGGAGAAGTGAGTAATGGTGACAATGTCCATAATCACTCTGACCTTCTCCATCCTCCTCTCTATTTTCTACAATTAGGAAGAAACAGATTTCACCAGTAAGTCAAAATACGTAATCTGATTGCTCTTTTTTTCAAAGCCACACGCAGCTAGATAGCAATATATTTCTGCCAGATATGCAGTGAAATATCTAAACATCTCAGCACTTGGTCATTGTCATTCCGTCGCTTTTCATCTGGTGCTCGACTAGTCCAGCAAAGGCAGGACGGTGACTGTTGTATCCACTTCTTTACGGAGACCATCGTGACAAACTGGATGAAGCTGCACTTGAAGGGCGCTCCGCAGGAATGAGCGGGGGAGTCAAGCGGGACCAGAGGGGGTGGACCCTCTGTTTACCTCAATGATGCTTGGTAGTTCATGGGACATTTGTGGTTTATGTCCAAATTGTTTTTTTTGCTGCTATTTATAGTCTACCTGATGCAAATTTTAAAAAATGCACTGTAATTCACTACTGTTTTTGTTTGATTTGTTAGCAAATGGGCTTCAACTTTTGTGGGGAACTCTGTGTTGCATAATGATTATCAATTATTCATCAATAATTATCAATAATTATAAAGCTTTATTCTGTATGTTGAGGTGCCCTTGAGGGAGACACTGGATCCCAGGTTGCTCCCCAAATCTTCTACAGAAGCCCACTGCTCCTAAGTGCTTTGAATAAGACGAATGGTCTTATTAGGTAACATAAGGTCAGGTTTCATGTTCCTATGTGCATGTGATGTAGGGTTTACTCCAGGTTTCCCCAGCTCCACACTTGTCTCGGGAACAGCTGAAGGGGACTAGTCGTAGAGCTCCCACGCGATCTGTGCAATCTCCATGTGTGTCTGTTTTTGTAGTAGAGCGGGGGGTAAGCCTTATTTTTAAACCGAGACAGTTAACCAACGTGAAGCTTATCTATGAATAAAACTGGACACCTCTCTGCTCTCTTTCTTAAACAAATAAGAACCGAATATTCATATGTGGTATTCTCTGGGTGAAAGTCCCAGAGTGGCGTTGTCTCATTGCGGCCAGGCACATCAGTTGCACCTGTCACATGTATATGTAAGCCATTCAATTAAAGCTGGGACTCGTAGTCCTAATTTGACAAGAAGCCAGTTCAAACATATTTTTACAAGAACGACTTGTTCTTACTGAAAAGGACACATCTTCCGTACGTCTGCCTAAGCACCAGACCTCAAGGGCATAAGATAATAATTCATTGGAAGTGGAGGTCAAGGAACAATAAAGTAGAAGTAAATACTGCAGAAAGTGAACCATTTTAGGGAAGCCAATCAAAATAAATTCTTAGATTGAATTAATGCAACACCTTAAAAAACAGATGTGGTATGAAAACTATAAAAACATGAACACGATTGCATGAATTCCCGGTTATGCTTTTTTTCTCCGTTTTTCTTCCGAGCAATCAGTCACACCTACTCGTGTCCTTTGAAAGCAACAGCCAGAACATGTTTTGAAACCCAGGAAAGTCAATGGATGGAAATATCCATCCATCCATATCCATAAATCTACCCATCCAATGCGGATTAACATTCTACTCACTACTGCCAAAGCCAGATGTATTGTTAAAAAATAATTAAGCTTTAAACAATTAAATAACATTGGTCCAGTTTGGTTTGTTTTCGGGTGCATCATTGCCTATAGAGACCACATTTCTCGCTGTAGAAATCCCTCGGCTGGGCCTGTTGTAGAGTTGAGGAAAGTTTGCCAAAGTGCAGTCACTCACTCAGAAACACTTGTTGGATAGTGTGCGGATGTAGAATCAAGCTGAGCTCAAAAGGAGTGTTTTTGCTGTTGTTGCCAACTCTTATTCTGTTGCCAAAGTTTTTGTTGCCAGTTTTGGTTGCCAAAGTGCGTTGGTTTATTATCATCAATTGATATTCTTTCGCACATGTTGCATATTCGCTTGATCAGCTGCTCTGGCTGTCCTTCAGGATACCACTGTGTGACACTACACAAATGTTTACACGTACACTTAAAGAAATACACAATTAAACATTATTGTTTTTGATTTTTTTTTGGTGTGTTTTTTCATTCAGATGGCTTACATGCACGTATCAAAAAACGCTGTCACGGCAAAATGGATTAAGCATCAAAGAAAAATAACTGATGTTTTATTGTTTTTGAATAGTTTAGGCTGTTTTTGTTAGTTGGCCATTAAAGAGTGTTACTTTTTACAATTACAATTATAACTCAAAATCAAGCCAGTGTCATAATAACCCATCAAATATCTTCAGAATTGCACAATACTGTTTTGATTGACAGATGAAAATTTCAGTTGCCGTTAACAACATCAACATCAGTACAGACTCTCTATAAGGTAACGATGCGGAGGAAAGCATTGATTGTGCAACATATGCACCATATGACTTTTGTCAGTGTCTCTGGTACATGGGATGACAAACCAGAGACAGCACTTGATGTTGAACGTGTTGTAAATACCACTAAATTTGTCCTTAGTAGGATTTTTTTCAAAAATTGAGCAACGGGGGTGAAGGCCCGCATTCCCTCGAGGACGAGGGAAGAAATGATCGCCGCTGCAGCGTCAGCTTTCACTGCTCTCACTTGGTATCAGGTGTACTTTGAACAGCCTTGTGTTTGGTTAGAACTAGTCTTGCACAAGACGGGTGGGGTAGAGTGGTCTGTGTTTGTACAGACAAGGTGAAGTCTCCCGTTGTAATACATGCTCAGGCAAAGGAGGGGCGTGAATGGAATCTTTTCCTCGAGAAGAACGCACGCTTAAGGATTACCCACTCTTTGCAAATAGCTGATTTGAATGGTCAAACCACAATGGAGGCAATCAGTGGCACCACAAAAATCCTGGAGAAGGGGCCTGAATACCTCCGAAGGCAAATGGAACTGGAGAGCGAGACGAAGGGACGCATGAGTGCGGTGGAGAGGCTCGCTGCGACCAAACTCAAATATGTCAAAAGCAAGCTGGTGGTCAACTCCACTCAGGAGCCGTTCGTCAGCCTCGGCTCGGCCTCTGTGAGTAGCGCTGGATCTTCAAACCTCAGCTCGAAGCGCGGTGAGAATCTCTGCGTCGGGAGCAACTCGAGAGCGGCAACGCACGCTGCTCAAATCGCCAGCTCGCCGGGGCAGGTGCGTCGGTCCAGCTCCAAAAAGCGACGGGACTCGCTGCTGTTTTACAGGCAGAAATGCGAGTTGCTGACAACGTCGGCGAGCGACCGGAAACACCATGTAATACCCAAGCTGCTGCTGGGCTCCGTGCACAAAAGGGCGCCGTTACCTGGTTCAACAGAAAAGGAGTGTGAAGGTGAGTGCAACAAGGAGAAGGTCGTCCCACCTATGGGGAACAGAAAGGAGGAGGAATGGAGCAGCAGTGCAACGCAGCACAGAAAACAGGAGTACTGGGGTCAAAGGTGACAACGGGATCTGTGAGAAAATCTGGCCTCCTAACAGTTCCCGAGTATGAAAAGAGGTCCGGCAAAGGGGTCGGTCGGTCTCACTCGGACATCAGCTCCAGGTACTCCAAAAGCTTTGCAGACGTTGATGTTTTTTTCAAGTACTGTGGGCTGGGCGGTGAGGTCATTGAGTCTTTGGGGGAAGGAGAACTTCTCGGCGCGCTCAGATGAAAGTGTCAGCCCTTCCACGTCGGACAATTGCTTCTCCAGGAACAGCGGGGAAAGCGACGGCCTGCTGGAAGACGAGTTACTTGAAAAGACGAGTCAGGGGACGTCGGTTATTGAGCGCAACGCGAGGGTCATCAAATGGCTGTACAGCTGCAAAAATGCTGTAGAAACTGGAAAGACGTTAAGAGACCTGCATTGAGATGCCGACCTCGACTGTTGAAGAGTTGATAATAACCCCTTGCTTTTTTCTGTGATTTTGTTTATCTTTGCCATAATAATCGTTTCATTGTGTCATTTGGTTTCTGGGCATACTGTGTGTGTGTGTGTGTGTGTGTGTGTGTGCGTGTGCCAATTTCAGCAGAAACGTCTGGGAGGAATGACACTACTTTAGAAACTTGCCTTAACGTTGTGTGTTACATAAATTGCACAGAAAGCCCCCCGTTACACACAGAAACATGGCAGCTGTTATGATCTAAACATGTTTATCTGGAAAATATGTATTTTCTTGTGGTTTACTTTATTTATCAAACTGTGCGATCTTTACAGCACAGCTGCAACTTCAAGATCCAACTTGCGTTAAAGATCCAAAATTCTGACACACATGGAGACAATAACTCTTTTTCTGAGGATAAAAACAATCAAAAGACCATTAGTGGCCTATAAATGGTCTACAAATACACTTTCAGGTTGCCTGGGCTAAAGAAAGATTTGTCATTTTCAACAGCACCACACAGGGGCAAACGTGTCAATGGCAAACAGAGGAAACTGCACATAATGCTTTTATATTCATAGTTGTAAATGATCTGCAAAACCAACAACAACTGAAACTCTGCTTCTCTCTGACTCCTCTCTCTCTCCACTCAGAAACAATATTTATGTTTCGGCATATACTCATTACTCAGCTGCACCCATATTTTAAACACGCCTTTCCCCTTTGCAGAAGCCTGGCGGACACATTCGTATCAAGACAAGTCATGTCGTGCCCTCTCTCGTCCTTTGCTTCTTAGAAGTTGATGATTCCATGAGAGAAACAGCTATTTAACGTTGCATTCGTGGTTCAACCTACAGGAATGTACAGTACAATGTATAATAAATGTGCAATGTGTAATAATTGACTGAAAATACCCTGCTAGCATTGCGTATTATTTCTTATTATATTGGAATTTGTATTATGTAAAATGACTATTACCACCCCAACCAGTGAGACTATGGTTATGCTGCTGCCTGTGTTTTACAGTTAAGTATTTTGCTACACAAATAAAGTTCATATTTTTCTTACATATTCACGTTTCCTGATTCCTGACAAACTTTTCTCAAATGTATCAATGTTAAAAAGTTGTGTGCACATTTCCTCCTATATTGTGTATTGGATTCTCTGGATGTAAATAACACAGTGAGTATATCATCGATAGGGCCCACTAGTGGATGCTTAGTAGTTGAAAACCTTTTGAATGTGCGATATTTAGCCTAAAGGTGATATCTGACTATAGACTGAACCGGATCACTGCGTTAAAATGGCAGTAGCAGCACGCTAGTATACCAAACCGTTGACCGCACTGTAATTACATAACCACAAATAAACCGGACTGAATAGATGAATGTAATGCTATTTTTAGTACATCAGAGGAGAACAAAGAAAAACATTTTGCAGTAGTATTTTGTCAAAAAAGATATAATATCTAATGGCAGCTATTCAGCCATCTTGTTACAGATACACATTCACACAGTATAAGTTTATCTGACCATGATTAGCCTCCGAACTATCTGGTGTCACAAAACCGTGCTTGTACGTGTACAAACCTCTTAAACTCTTAGCAACATTCCACCTTCAACAGATGTGAAACAGCCTTCAATCAAACTCCGACTTGAGTTATTAGGCCTAAGAAATGATAGGACTTGGTTCCAGCTGTTTAAAACCCAGCTACGTAAAGTGATTTGAAAGAATGTTTCCAGTATCATTTTAGCTTTCAGGCAGTCTGATACCTACGTCATCACTTAGAATGTGCCCATGAAGACTGGGGAAGTGGCTTGAACTAGCTTTCTAAATAACTTGAAGAACTAAAAGGCGTGAGACTAGATTTAGACCCAAAGGGACATGCAACTTCCCTAAAAAAGATATATGTGGCAACCAACGATAAACAGAAATGTTATTCCCTAACTCTCCAAATAAAGTTTAAAATCAGAATGAGCAGCTGTCAGAATAGTAGTGACCTAGATTTTATTTGATCTAATGAAATCTGTGAATAATTGATTCAAATGCTCCTTGATGAACCACATCATCATCTTCTCATCACTCCCGTAGTTGTGTTCCCAACCCCCATCTCCAAATCAAAACATAAATACATGTGTGCAGTAAGCTGTCACGTGTGGAAGAAGGCCCCAACAAAACAGAATGATTGACAGCAATATCAAGCCAATCAGCAACTGGACTGCATGTCAACCGGAGCCGTTTAATGTGAGTCACGTCATCTCTGGTGACTCCTAAGCCATTTCTGATTGCATTTTCGTGCGGGAGGGCAGGACTGCCGAAGGGACGAGGAGCAAGGAGTGTTCCTTTGCGGTTGTCTTTTTGACACAGGTGAACAGACAAAATGGGCTTGATTCGGTAGAACCCCGTAAAGAGCTGCTGTACCCTAGTTGCTTGATGCTGTTCATCAGATTCTCAGGTTTTCATAACCCACATAGTCCGATTTGTTACCGCGACTCTTGTTTTCTACGGCTCTGTTGTCCAGTCGAAATTCGCTGAACAGACGTTTCGTCCAATCAGAGCGCAGCAGGGGGGCGTGTCTGCGGCGCTGCGTGCGCTTCCGTCAATATCTCCGTGCAAAAGAAGAAGCGTAAACAGACACAGATGAAACAACAAACGAGTCGCTGAAGGTTTGTTAAGCCTTTGTCACACAGACCCAGCGCAGTTATACTGCAGCTTCTATTCGTCCTGTCGTTATTGTTTCATGCGTCGAGCCGACTGACAGCTTGTCCTGTATCCATTTTTTTTACTGTACATCGCTCAAACGACGCTGACAGTGTTTGCTGTTATTTGTTTTTTAAAATGCTTCAGTAAAATGCGTCATAGTCGTTGTCGGGGGTGTTTTTATAGCAATTTGGCTCACTTGGCAGTATTTTCATGTAATATTGCGTCAACGAGTTTAACGTAGGTACCGTTGATAGATGTGATGTTTATTTAGCAGCTGTTATCAGACAATAACCTGATGATAAGCTGTAGACTGAAGACTAAGGCTACCGCGGCTGAGAAAGGCCAAAATGCTGGTTTTCTTGTCCAAATAATCACTAAACACTTATTGTTGACATTTCAATGTCATTGTATTTATACCAAAATAATATATTTAATCCAATCATTGAGTCAATTCAAGAGGTGCAAATAAAGATGAGAGAATCAATTTAACCTTTTTCCCCCATTTTAGTTTTTAATTTATTTATTGTTTTATTTGTCTCTCATTGCTTCCACCTCACACAAATAATTTCTTCATCTTGTTAACCCTCCAGGTGTTTTAGGTTGCAGCGACCCTCTCGGCTCAGAGAGCCTCCCCTGCCTCGATGCCTTTCTTGGGAAAGGACTGGAGGTCACCGGGATGGAGCTGGACAAAGACAGAGCACGGCTGGAAGAGGATTTTCCTTTATGGACACGAGTTGGAAAACAACAACAGAGAAATCGACTTGAAAGTGTAAGGTCATTTGTTTTTACCATTGTCATCTGTATCGGCCTTTAACCGTTTTCTCACCAATGTCAAACTTGACAAATTAGACAAATTAATAATAATTATTATTATAAGTTAAAAGACTTTGAAGTAGCAGGAAACTACAACAGAGGCGGTACGCAGTACTGTGCCAGGTGTTTATTTCTCTGGGCACACGCATGTGGTCTGATTAGGCGTCAAAAATCTTTACAGATGTGAAGTTGATATGAAAATGAAGTTAGAGTTTGAAGATGTGTGTGGTCGCACCCAAAGCGCCACATTGCCTTCACTAGTTTGTGTACATGGCTTAGCAGTTATTTGTGTCTCTTGTAAGCTTCAAATATGGATGTATTGCACATTTTCTGAAAATGGCAAACGGTTCGAAGAATAGCATTTATTGTTATGATGAATTTTATACAAACAATGTCTGTAGAAAAATATACTTTGTTAGAATTCTGAAGGTGGAAAAAAAAAGTCCTACAATGCAAAGAGTTTAGTAAAGCATGTCAAATAAATAACATTCCTAACTATTGATTGGCTGGCCACTGGCCTTTAAAAGTGCTATATAAATAAAATTGACATTGACATTGACATTGATGGGACGCTATGTAGCCTCTTCCCCAAACCTTTATAATGCTCTCATGGTAACACATTAGCAGAGTACCCAAGTTATTTAAATGCAATTGATTTACTTCCCCATATACAATACACAGGGGAAGGGAACCGTGTACACAATAACAAAATACGATTTTAAAAGAGAACATAAAGAGGAAATAAAGTACAAGTTAATCCATGCAAGAAATGATGCCTTGTTTTATTAAAAAAAGTTATAAATAAACATAAATAAGCATAAAAGAAATACTTATAACAGCTACGATAACAAACTATAAAAAGTTCCTAAAGGCGTTTGTTTTTGAAGTAAATGTGTGTGAGAAGACGGAGTTGCAGTGTTCAGCGGGGACGGCAATACACCAACCGGCTCACGAGCAAACAGAGCTTTAAACAGTGATCAGCATATTAGAGTTAACTCAGCACCGGTACGCGATATCTCCCTGCAGCCGCCGGGTCGGAAGGATCAGAAGGATAACTAATGACATCACCCTCTGCAGCTGCATTGTCAGTCAGAAAGGGCAGTGACTGCATGCAGCAGAGGAACATTGGTCAGACAAAACCTGCGATAAATGCGTTTTGAACGGATCGGTCTAACACAACATTCATCCACGTCCATGCAGCTCATGTATTTCAGGATATAATTCAAACATCCACAAATCCTTCTGGACATTCCTGCTGTTGTGTGTAACGTCGGCATGCAACTTGTTCCAAGCTTATTACTCTGCTCGCATGAGTGTTTGTGTGTATGCCTGCGCAATGGGATGAATGGATTACTCTTCTAATAATAATAATAATCCAAAAGCATGTGTGTTGAAATCAGCCACATTGGTACTCATTATTTGGTTGCAGTACACATTTCCTCCAGCACTCTTTGATACTTCATTAGGAAACATACTGCATCGAGTGTAGTCTGGAACCTGCTGCAGGGACAAAAGTTTTGTATTACGATCCTTTCACTTTGTGGGAGTCGACACACAGTTGGTGTTTTGTAATCTGGCCGAATAATAAGGCCTATTATTATAATGCTGTTGAGCCCAAAAATGGCTACTTGTACAGCTTACAGATACGTGGTGTTTGCAGATGGTAGGCTGGATGGATCATAGATAAATATGTAATGATTACGTCGCGTCTTGACTTTTGTGACTCGTGTTGCATCTTTCTTAACCTGCTTATTTCTACTATTTGTCAAATTAAACCACTGGATTTTTTTAACCAGAGGAAGTTTGCCTTCAATCCGAGGATCGGCGGTTCAATCCTCGGCTCCGTCGGTCAATGAACTGTACAATTTACCATAAACATTGGCCTCCTCGTTCCGCACAGGCTCTGCACTGACAACAATGAGCATCTGTTTGTTGGAGATGTGTGTGAGCTCGCCACCACAAAGAGGAAAAAGGACCTCTACAACAATAACACCAAATCTCAGTGTGAGTATGAGCAGCGAATAATCCCTATTTTGACTTTATGACGTGTCTGTGGTACAAAAAGTGTATTTAAAAAAGAACAAATAAATAAAAGAAAAAGCAAATCATGTATTAGGATGCAGGAATTAACATATTTGTTTGCATTGACATGCATTCACTTGTTAATTCTTTGTCCTGAGATGTCACATTGGGTTTTACATCTGCTTACTTGGTTGGTTTTGAGGGCTGAATCTCCAGAATAATTCCACAGGGCAGTTTTACATTAGATTCTAACATACAGTATATACAGTGTATGTTGACACATGTTGCAGAAGAGTTTTGACAGTTAACATTAGCCAATAATTATCTTTATACCGGTAAAAAATTCACAGAAAAGCGGTTATTTTTCTAAATTGCACAGTTGCATAACTATATTATGTCCCCCTTATTCTACACTAAAACATTTGGACTGATGAATTAAGGTGTTTCGATTGATCTTTCCTTGGCCAGTTGTCTTTGTGGATAAGTGGATCTACGTACAGAACAGAAGCACCAAAGAGGTGAGCGCTGCAGCTATTTCACACACGAGGCTGTTGATTCAAACGGCAGAATTCTCACACAAAAATGTGTGCGTGTGTTTTTTACACACAGCGGCACGTATACTCAACGCTCGGTGAAGCCCTCAACCGTCTAGACTTCTCCACTGCCATTCAGGACCTGAGAAGATTCAACTATGTTGCAAAAGTGAGGGACTCTGATCACGCGTGTACATTTTCATTTTTTCATTTTGACTAGGACAAACTGTTCATCTCGGTGTTTCTCCCACAGCTTTTCCAGCTAATAGCCAGGTCCCAGCTGACCTCCTTGAGTGGAGCAGCACAGAAGAACTATTTCAATATACTGGAGCAGATTGTACGAAAGGGTAAGGAGGCCTGAGACGGAGACATTGTGCTGATATTTTGTCAGAAACACTTTTCTTTGCATCCTCACCTTAATTTAGGCTTCTTTTTATTTGTGAAATTAGCATAATATTTCACAGAGATGAATTCAATAACAAATGATGATTCACGCTAGTGACGTTGCAAAGGAATCCAGCAATGTCGTTTGTGGGGTTGCGTTGCCTAGTGACGCAACTTACAGATCAAGTCCACCACACGTAAAGTCATTTAAATGTGGTTAAGATTTATTTTTCAGAAAAAATATAATGTTGGATATACTCACTAATTAATCTTTGAAGGATTTAGCTTCTGTTTTGACATTTTTCTTTATCAAATATCCCCACTAGTTCTAGACGACTACTACAATCCGCGCCTCGTCAAGGATCTGCTGCAGGACCTCAGCTTGACGCTGCACAATCTGACTATCCACGTCGGCAGATGTGTCCTCGTGGGAAACGTCAACATCTGGTTGTGCCGGCTGGAGACCATTCACAAATGGAAGCAGCAGGTCAACAACCTGCAGATCCCCAAGGTAGAGCCGTGGCTGTACTGGTGCCATGTTTGTACGTCGAACATGTTTACAAGACTTATTTTTGGCATTCTGACCGTGTGCCTCTTTACCGCCACCCCAGCAAACGTGCAGCGGCATGACGTTCAACGACCTGCCGCTGCACATGCAGAACAAGGTCCTCAGCGAGTTATCTGATGCCTATGACATCATTAACGTGGGCCAGGCCATGCCTGCGCTGCACTGCCTCAGTGAGGACTGGATACTGTGGAAGAAACTCTGCCACTTCCACTTCTCGGACAAACAGGTGAGAAAACATAAGCATGATTGTTAAAAAGTTCACCTTTGCAACACTAGAGAGCAATATTGGCCCTTTTTTGGCCGCTGAGGTGCACAGACACACCATCATGCTCTATAGTTTCCAATTACACTTTGCTCCAGTTGCTACACAGCTGCCCCCTGTGTTTTAATTGTGTTTTAAACCATGTGTTTCCTTCCATTCGTGCGCAGTTCTGTAGGAATTTGGTCCTTTCCAACAGCGATAAAGTGGACTGGAAGCTGATGTACTTCACCCTGAAGAAACATTATCCAATGAAAGAGCAATACGGCGACACCTTGCACTTCTGCAAAAACTGTAACATCCTCTTCTGGAAGGTGAAACAAAAGACGTCACACAGAGAGACGTTGTGTTATTTATGAACACCGTGTTACTGACAGCGCGGTTCATCAGACGGTAAAATACTAGTTCATTGGGTTGACGGACAATCTCATTAGAACACAGATAACAGACTTAAGGACAAAACAAAAAAAACATCAACATAAAACAAATCGTATGATAACTGACTAAAGACGTAGAACAAATCAGTGAACAATCAATTTATTTTAAAGCCAGATGAAGGCAGTCGATGCTCTAACGATTCATAACTCCCTTCTTAAAATATTGCATGCCTACACAAAGATGGGAGTCTGAAACAAAAATGGTGCACATTGTAGGAAGGACAAACATAATATGTCCCTGAGATTAGAGTAGATCAGGCTAAATGTTGCAGTCTCATAAAGAAAGCAAACCAACTTTCTTACACAGACTGCAGTGAGAGATGTGCGGAAACCATAACAGAGACAAAACGCAGCACATGGCGCACTCAATCAAAACCCTTTCAAATGAGATACATTTGAATGCATATGCAAAATATCGCCATGAGAAACTTATGAGAAGTGCAGGTTCATTTTATCTCTTTAACTGTATGTAGGTCAGACAGTTGAGTCTATCAAATGAAGTATCAACTTAATAACATTTCATTCCATTATTATTTGCCAGAGACCAAACATCCATTTTTGTTTTGTACACTCTTTCGTATTCCCTCTATTGTGTCTGAAGTCTTTTATAGACTTTGGTCCAACCACACAGCCTCTCTCACACTGATATCTGTCTCTTGCAGGGAAGGTGTTTGGCGGTGATTGGAATATTTGGGAATACTTAGAGAAATGAAGCCTGACATAATAGGTTGAATTATTGTAAAGGTTTTAGGACCATGTCAACAACAAAAAAAGCTCCACTTGTGATTATTCAACACAAATAATCTTTTTTCCCACCAGTGCGTTTCTTTTTACTTTTTGGTCAGAGATCAAACAGATGTTGTTTGCTGTCATTGACACATGAGATCTGACCTGCTGCCATCTACACACACTAACAGCGCTCTGATGTAGAATGCAGCTATTCCTCTCATATCCATCAGCGCCTTATTTTCTCAATACAATCGTGTTCTCCTCCTCGACTGGGTCCCTATACTTTTTAACCTCTGCCCTCCTTGCTTGTGTTCCTTCTTATCCGGCTCTCCTCCTGGTTCCCCCTTCTCCCTGATTCCTTAAGGATCGCCCACTGGCTTTGTGTTTCAAGGTACTCCCCATACTCCCCGTTTGTGCCGTGTTTTCTCAAATGGTCGCATTTGTGACTTATCTTTTTTTCCATGTGTTAAGCTTTGTCTCATTCCATTCCATTGGTTATCCTCTCAGTTCATCTTGATGTCCCCATGTGTTTAGTAAACAGCGCTGTCCTTCTGCTTCTCTTTTTAATGACCCTTAACCCGCATTCTCGTTCTCGTTGAGTCCTGAGAAAACGGTCAGTTGTCAGTAAGCACCTCGTGGTTTCCTCGTCTCCTTTCTCTCTGACGGTGCGGTTGTTGACTGATCTTCCAGGACTGCGGCCATCCATGCACTGCCGACGATCCGGAGAGCTGCCTGGTGCCCATTTCCCCGCAGCACTTCATCGACCTCTTCAAGTTCTGAACCCTGCGCGACGGCCATTAAGCGAACCTGCGTTTGCCAAGAGTGTGTGCGAGGCGTCGAGGTCATCCAGCGGAATAAAAAGGGCTTCAACCGAAAGAGATGACATTGGTTTAATTGTCGTCATTTGCTTGCACACAAGTGTTTCCATAAGACAAAGGAAAGTTTGCAGATTTTAAGAATGTTGCTAATTGTTTGAATATAAAGACATTTTATGTTGTTCCTCCACTTGCACAAACAATTGTCTTTTTGACAAAAATGGCTAATAATGAGGGGAAAGACCCAAATAATGTATAAATATGTGAAAGGATTTCTATGTACAAGGAATTGTAGCTTGTTTATGGTAGGTGGCTGTCGATAGGTCATGTCTATTGTTGTTATTTTTCAATGGAAACAGGTGAATATTAACCATGTGGCAGAGTAAGATGTGTCAATTGTTCATTTAATGGGATTAACTATTAACTACTATGGGATTAACTTTATGACAACATAAAGCCTGTAAACAGCATTCAGTGCTCTGTGTTCATTAAGAGAACATAATGAACTATCTAGTTTAGACAGAGAAACATGTTACATTATTTATGGGGGGGAAATATTTTTGTATCTTTCCTTCAACTTTTGTAAAATTCAATTGGCGCCCCAAGTGCTGGAACCATCACTTCACTTTTATGGGATATGAACTATTAATAATTAAAGATTTCTAAAAAAAAACTGAACTTTTCTTTCCTTTATGCTGTAGAGACGCATGGAATTATTGGCACTTTAAGCTGTTTTAAAATAAGTTCTCTAGACTCAAACTATTACTAGTTTTCACTTCTTGGTTTTGAATAAAAATATCTTTGGCAAGCAATATATATACACTGTACATATATTTTATCATTGACAGCAGGATCAAAGTTTAATGATTAACATTCTTCAAAGAATTGAGTAAGAATATCCTCTAGGCAAAGGGTTAAACAATCATTTTCATAATGACGTAACGGTATTTCCATTTCGCTGTGCTCTGCTATAAGCCAAGAGAAGTTATTGACACATGGTCAGCTACTAATAAGACTTTAACCTGTGTGGATTTTGTTTGGCCTTGTGGGAAAAAAATTTTTTTGTATAAAATCCGAACCGGTGGCAGCAATGACAAACTATATAGAAATAGACAAACCTGTTGCTGGTGGTCTCGCTTACTTGAGAAGGTCAGATGAAGGCATCTGTATTACATTGAGACGGTTCCATAAATTGTTAAAATCTCCTCACAGTAACTTTAAATTTGATCTAGAATTGTATGCAGTGAAAGTGGCACTCATCCCCATTAAGATATCCACATTTCTCAATTTTGTACTAAAAGTTTGACACTCCAGCACAGTGACACCACTGCTTTGAATAAAGTAGAGCCAGACAGTCGATCGAGAGCTTTATTCTGCTGGAGAGAATCCGACCCAGATGTTAAACAAATAAATACAGGAGACATCTGGCTGCAAAAAAAAAAAGAGTTCAGTTTTACAGATCAAAACCAAGAAACATAAGAGAAGAACACCAGTGGCATGACTTTTCTTATTCAACTTGAAGGATCTCTGTATAAATGAAAGGACTCTTCATTGTCTCAATATACAAACATGTCAGAGTTGTACCCCATCGAGGGATGGTCTCGATGACACAAGTGCATTCTGGGTCGACACATCTGCACGTGCATGGACATTGTGATGAGCTCATCTGTTCTGTGCGCAGAGGATGGTCTCGTTCAAATGTACAGCACACACACACACACACACAATGTCATTGTATTAATACAAGGCACAACTGGATGAGGCCTCTGCTTCTTACTGGAAACAAGTATATAAAGTCAGGCTTTTATTTTATCAGCATTACAAATGTTCTAAAGAAATCATCCAGCATCAGATTCAAACAAGGACAAACTACGCAAAGGTTCTTTGATTGGATTCGCTCGCATGCTCCAAACACAGCAGGACTTCAAATATTTGATTTTTGGTATTCATTAAAACAAATGTCCATCACTTACTTCCACTTCATCAACCTCTCTTTTACACACTTTAATGCAACATATTCAAGATCCAAATTATATCATAAGCTGTTGCGTGATTCCACAGACGAGAGACACGCAGAGCAGAAGTGAAAACCAAGAGGTCTTCAGGATGTTTGCATGTTCTTCACAGAAAATTAAATGAAAAATCACTCTTCTCATTTCTTGGCAATACAGAATATATAAACGCCAGGCCGGTAAATATCAAAGTTAAAATGCTAAAATAGGCTTTTATTTGTATTAATTTACAGTTCATGTCAGTGATTCCACAGCTCATTGATAATTCTAGAATGTTGACCTGGGCTCTGTCAGCATCTCAATACCAGTTGTTGGACTACAGAGACGAGCAGATTTTTGGTTCGGGACTCCATTGTCTTTATTGCCAGAGGGGTGGGAGGATTTAAAGGGTGAAAGGCCTCTTATTTAAACCCCTCCCAAGAGCTTTCTGACACGATCCCTCTGCTCATTCTGCTGATTCCAGCCAACTTGACTTTGGCGCGCGCCGTCCACCGGACGGCAGCTGTTGAATCCTTGGAGTCCGACAGGTTAGCGTAGCGGGAGGAGTCCTCCTCCAGACCTTGGCCCGCCCAGGCGGCCGGTACAGAGTCGGGGAAGGACACTGGCGAGTCCCCTTTGCGGCTCTTCTCCTCCTCGGCTTCGTCGGTCCCGGTCTCGGTTGAGTTCCCCGGATGTGGAGGCTCCCAGCCCTCGATTTTCTCCAGCTTCTTGGTGGGCGAGATCTGCCTCATTGTCATGGTAACGCTCTCCCAAAAACAGTGGCCCTTCTCTTGTTTGTCCTTTTTTTCCTTCTCCTTCTCATCATCCTTGTTTTTCTTGAGAGACCTTGATAGAAAAACAAACATCCCCCACGCAGAACGTCATCAAATAGGAATTCCCGGCTGTTTGTAGCAGAGACACAGAATTTTGCTAAATGTTAACGATGTACTATCATGATAGTTTTGCCTTGGAGATATATTTTTATATTAGATATGAGATTTCCGTTACTTATGTTGATGTTTCATATAAATGGAATTATGGTTCCTGTTTAATCAAATATAGATAATTTCATAGTTATTTTGATTGAGACGGTGCAGCCACCTCAATAAACTGCAGGTATCTGGCAGGATGGGGTTCGGCTATTAGTGTCTAGAGAAAAGAGTTGGCGGTCAAGTGGCCGGTGGATTGCCTTCGTGAAGCCAGAATTAGCCCCTTTGAACTTGGCGTCATTTCTCATTTCTCCCACCAGGACGAGGGAGTAAACCGCGCTGCGTTGGCGGGTTAAACTGGCAGCTCATTCTCGTCCGGCGGAGGAGAAAACGGAAAATGTCGACTCTAATGTCAACCTGAAAAAAAAAAAATCCAGGCATTGCGGGATCGTCCTTCTGCACGTTAAAGTGGGGACGCGGAGGCAGGTGACGGCAGCGTCATTGCGTGTGTAATCTCACCCTCTGCGGTCGGTCAGCTTTACTCCGGTCAACAAGAAGTGCTCGTCGTCTTTAGAGGAGAACATCTTCTTCTCCCGCCTCTCTTTCTTGGACATGATCTTCTTCCCCTTCGCCTCCTGAAAGAAGTCAAAAGATAAGAGATGATTGATATCAGAGGTGAATTACAGCATCTGTTGCACGTTAGTTTGTTATCTCTAGTGTCTATTTGTGCTTGGTTTATATTTAACAAGAATTTAGAAAACCTGATGCTGAGGCTACCACTTTCACGTTGGTAAATATAACAAATATTAGAACAAAGACGGGATATTATTTCATGAGTAGAAAACTCCAGTCAGCTAATCCCTGACAAGAAAGTAAATTAGCATATTCCCCAAAAATGACCCTTTTAACGTCATAAAGGCAATTTTCAGTTGGACAAAAGACTCAAAGCTGCTAATTCTGTGTTACAGAGAGATAAGTGCAGAGGGAGAGGGGCATTGAGTTGGCAATAACACGCGGCACATTCCAGTGAAAGACCCTCCACCTTCTCTTAAAACTCCCCCGGTCTCCCCCGTCACATCGGAATTCCTCCCTTCCCTTTGCCTCTCTCCACCAAGCACAGACACCGCCCTCCTCAGCCATCATAGAACAAACTCTTGGCTCTGTTTCCCTCCTGGGAAGAATTCCCAATGTCAACCGCCGTCAAGGCCGCGACGTTCACTCGTACTCACGTCCGTGCCGGCCTTTGCGTTATTGTTCTCACAACAGGCTCAGTTCTCACAACACAATTTGATGAATGCGCGCACACACACACACACACACACACACTACATCTCTCCTGAGGATTTGACAGCAGCTACAACAAGCAAACAACTAACATGAAGGCAAGTCGACCCAAACAGGAACATGTACAATAACAGGTCTGCGATCAAGGTTCACAATGTCACGGTTTAGATGACATGAACTTCCACAGGCTACACGAGCACTGTGGTTCACACACACACGCAGGATTCTTATCATCCCGCTTGTGTCATCTTCTCATATTCAAAATGAGGACGTTTGATGGATTGTTAAACACTTTGGTATCTCCTGAGGAGTCAGGCACTGCTGCCAATAAACAGAAAATTAGGTCCTCCCAGTCTCACCTCTCCATGAACATGCTCCAGGGCAAGAACGCCCTCAGTTTATAGTCATTAACAAAATATTTAAAAGGAATATTCTCGGATATTTCAACACTGTTGCTGTTTCTGACTCTCCTCTTGCTCTGCTTCTTGTTTCCTGTGCGCTGTCAAGTGCAAACCCGGCGATCAGATTTGCTGTAGTTTGAGCTTTGCAGTAATAAAAAAAATATTAGTGTTTATATATATGTGTGTGTGCATGAACTGTAGCTGAGGTCCAACTGTGTATGTGCACGCATGCATGCGTCCCCGTACAGAGGCCTTCCTATTCACCATTCTCTGCAACATTAACCTCCGGGCCTCTAGATCCAAAGCAGCTCAGTGCGCAGTAATCTCGCCGGCCAGAAAGCAGGTAAACCCAGCGGCTCACAGAGGCTCGCTGTGTGGGGGGAGATTTACCTACAGCTCCACGCCCGGCAGAACAATAGAGCTCTTATTGGACCGAATTCCTCCACCCGTACAGCAGAGTTGGACGGATGAGTGGAGAGGCATTTTGATTTAGAAAAGTTGATCCTTGTATTTTTCTTTATTTTAGAGACACTGAGACGACATATTTACTTTCTCGGGACAAATCGGGAATGTTACGCAATTAAATGTGGGTGGTTTGAAAAGCGCTGTAGAACGTGATCGGAATCGGCCTTTGACAAAAGGTAACCTCCGCTTCCTGTACGCCGCGTCTACTTTGTGTGTCCTAATGTGAGCAGAAAACAGCCGACAGTGGAAGAAATGTCGCCTTCCTACGGTGTCAGAGCAGTCTGTGGCTATTTTCAGCCTTGTTTTTCCTTCCTTAGCGATTGTTCCCGTCCAAAAGACCCAGCTCCTCCGATGAATGCCGTCGTTTCCTTCCCTTGTCCAGCCCAGCAACCCCCTGTCCTCACAACCCTCCCGTCCTGCGAACTGAGTCACCCGCAGTACCCATACATTCACGAAGGGAAGGCAGTCAGAGTTCAGAGACTACACATTGTTCAGACAGGACACACCTTAAGCGTACAGGCTTGTTGTCAGTATACAGATTAGGAGATACGTCAGATATCTCCCGCACACACACACACATACACACACACACACACACATTGTTTGGAGCGGGCACAACTGCTGATGAAGATACCTGCACACAAAAGGGCCGCTTGGGGAACTTGCATCATAGAACCATTATTTACTAATCAGAGTTTTCAGTTGATAAGAGGGTTGTTTTTTCTGTCAAACTCACCATGACCTTTGGCTCTAATACACATTTTGAAAATGTGTGAGTTGGTTTCTTTGAAACACATTTAGTGCTTTCCGATCAAGAGAACGTCACTGCAGCATCATAAAGTACTTTATAACATGTTCAACCAGACAATGTTATTTGATCATTCAAATGAACGTTATTGGTAACTTATACTTTATGATGTTTTTGTAAAATTCTATTCAAAAACTCGACCAGTTTACAATATCATCAAACATCTTTTCAATCAGGGCCGATGTGTTAAACCACGACCGGTTGGTTTGAAATGTTATTTTCCTGCCTGATGTTGGGCAGCGTTCACATTGGTGAGTACAGTGCAATCGCTGATGAAAAAAAGTGATGCTTGAGAATCCAAATATAAAGTTCAATTAACCTTCATCCTGCTCGGTGGGTTTCATGATAAGGATACAAGCGCCACAATAACAAACATGACTTTCCAGTGATATGGTTATGGATAACACCGGCTGAAAGCTCTGACACTTGAAACTGCCTGTGCACGTGAGTGCATCGGGGGTATCGAGTTAAGCAACAGATTAGGGCTGTTCAGAGACATTCTTAGTTACTGAAACCTACAATTAAATAGACTAATCGCTTCGTTAGTTTGTTGGAAATAAGTAATTCAGCACAAACAAAAAAAATGACCAAAGAAATGTTAGTCTACCAAGATCTCATCGATTAAGAGAGGGGAGCCCTACAAAGAATATGGACGTTTTTAATGATTATTTTAGGGTTACACAACCATTAGTCAAAGGTGTAATATTGTGAGCGTGTGCACCCGTTTGTCGATGTGCGAGCAGATGAGAGCAGGTTGGAGAAGTGCATGCATTTAGGCGGTAACTGTAGGGAATTTGCAAGCAAACAGTTTGTTTATGTAAAAATACCTGTGCGGTTTACCTTGGATGCTGCAGTGACGGCTTCCTCCTCCTCTTCCTCTCCGTCTCGCTCTTTGTCCTAGGTGACAAGCACACATACACAAAACAGCAGTGAGTTTACACAAATACACACACTTTGTGTGAGGGATGTGTGTGTTTGTGTGCGTTTGTGGCGTCCGTGCAAGGTTCCCTGTGAAACTGAGGAGGGGGGGGGGGGGGGGTCTTTATTTCCCAAGTGTGACATGAACATGCCGCATTGAAGGGTGAGACGGAGGGACGGAGGAGCTGGCAGGACGGGGGTCAGAGGGCAGATTCAAACAAAAGAACAAATAAATCCATGACGCGTGGCCTCCACGGTGCACTGTTCGGGTATATAAGTGGAGATATTTAGGATCCATTGTGCTTCATATATCCTTTGTTTAAAAACATGTTATAGTTTTAGAGCTTTTAACATTATTGACTTTGTTCTACATTACATAGATCTATAGACTTGACCAATACTTTAAAAGGAGTAAACAACTGTGTACACTGTATGTATTATTATTACTTTTTTTTTTTTTTAAACATTTACAACAACCTTTTTTCTTTAAATTTTTCTTAAATAAAGTCGCAGCAGTTGATCTTTTTGTGCACATCTATAATTACAATAAAGTCAGATGGAATTTAATTAGAGGTTTTGCTCCCTCTGAAAGAGTTTACACTTGAAAGCCAAACAATCGAGTCATAAAGTTAGTAAGTATTCAAACAAAGTAATTCCTACTCAAATATTTACACCCATTAATTCGGTTCACAGCGCTAGGCGAGTTTAAAAACTCAAATGTTATCCTCAACTACTCTACAGAGGATATTATGGTTATCCCTATTTTTACAAGTTGTCTGTTAAGACGAATGACTTGACTTCCAAAGGATGAAAAACCTTAAATCATAAGGGGTTAGCAAGAAGTCATCAGACGTGCAGCGGAGCCGGAGATCACCGAGGTCGAGCCAGAGTTCCTGTAAAATCATCAAAGCTGTAAGAAGTTCTAACATCTCAGAGAGCGAGAGAGAGAGAGAGAGAGAGGGGGGGGGGGAGATGGTGGTTGGACATGTCTGAGCAAAGTCTGCTGGGTTTACGCCACCTGAGCTGATCTGAGACACACTCGCACACATTGATCGCAAACTACCGTCACAGCGTAACAAGCATTAACAACTTTGGGACA